CCAGAGTCCCGCAAGATGCAGCTTTGCGATATTCGTCCATCGTATTGGTTCAATGTGGCGCCCTTCAAGCCAGCCCAGCCGCCGCGAGCCACTTCGGCAGCACATGATTGGCCGGGGCCGTTTCTTCAGGGGAACAACCGACCTCGCACAGCCACTGAACCTGACCATTCGCCAGTGCCCCAACAAATTTGCTGCGATGCCATACACCGGCCATGCAGACTGTACCACAAGAAAACTGCTGTGAGACTATCTAAAGGGGCAAAAGAAAGACTTCTCGCCGTTTTACTAGCGCTTGTTTGCCATCTGCAAGAGAATTTCAAAGATCAAGAAAACTGCCGAGCGAGCGCCGTTAGAGATTCCCCGCCCAATGCCGGGCATCCCATCTGATCCACCAAAAATAACTGTCCAGTTCGCTAGCTAGTGGCTAGTTTGACAGGGCGATGGGGGATGACTGACCACCAGGTGCTGTCGTTTATGCGGGGGAATCAAGATCGGGGACTCGACCCTACAGACCCTGGGCCGCATGAAGCTGCGTTTGCTGTTTTCCTATGACGATCACCTCACGCCTTGGAATGGCGAGCTGGGATCGACCGTGGTGTTTTGGTGCTTGCTGGTCGTTGTTTTCAGGGTCGTCGTGGTACCAGGGCTTTCCTGGTCTTGGATGCCACGGTCTGCCGTCATCCCATCTACCCCTCTTGGCAGTTTGGACGAAAACCAGTTCACGTCCGTCACTCGACAACACCTCTGCAATATCGAACCCCAGAATGGAGCCCTATGGCGCAAGCGGCGTTTTCTGCAATTTCTTATCTCAAAAAGTTTCTCCGACCTTGGTTTGGAGTCTCATGAGATTGTTTGGGGTGAGAGACAATGTCACACCACTGATCGTATGCCGACATGCACACGTTCTGCCATCTGCTGGGCCCTGGGCCAGTGACGTCTGTTTGTGCTGAGCTGTTCTTGCGTTGGACGATGTAACCTATCTCTCTGCCCGTGACCATGTGAGATGGCTCGCACGACACAGGATAGGCGAGACATATATGAGCTTCTCTCCAGACAAATGCCCAGAAGGTTCGAGGGATTTAAGAAAATGCACTCAACTAGCAGCGACTTTCCTCAAGAGGCGATAGGGAACTATATCCAAGCGCCAGAGCTGGGATACACATGAGGACTTGTTACCTACAGCACAGGGTGTTCTCTTCCTGTCTTCTGTAGTCCAAAGCATTTCGACTTCTCGGGGAACCAATATAAAACTCCGAGACTGCTACAACTACTTGATAGACGTCCATAATACAAGTCACATCGGAACGTCTGTTCTAAGTCGAGCTGAGTTGGTGTCGAAACATCACACCCAAGCTCCCGTTGAGGTAAATACGATGAGAGCAAGATCTCGACTTGAAGTCAGAACATAAATCAATTTTAGGGTGTCAGGTGAACATCCGATAGCTTGCATCTGCAGCAAGACAACCCTGCGACAAAACATTATATATTTGCAAAATATTCTCGATCTCGAAGTCCCGTTTCGAGGTGTCTTGTAGGCATAGGATTTGCGTGTCACCTTAGTGATTGGCTACCGCGAATTTCATCCAAACTGCCAAATTCTGAAGAGTATGTCTCTCAACCAATGCCCATTATCGTATGGGGATTTTACGGAGATTTATCGCGAAGGGTGATAAGGTAAACAGATCACAAGGTACTGGGTCTTCAAAACTAGATTAGCCAAGTACATACAGGCAACGCAAGGCGTCTGATCAAGAACTAAATCCCGAACAATATTTTTCATTTGGTTGATATGCAATTAAACAGATACACTATTGAGAAAACGGAGCAGTCTTCGGCAAGTTTCATCGACTAGGTATCCAACATATAGATACCTAGAGATGGATTTGCTCAACGATGCTTTCCTTGAAGTTCAACAAAGGCATGTCTGGAACCAGAAGGGCACCGTAACAATGGACTTAATTGTATCGTCTTTCCGTCTGTGCGATGTTAAAGGCAAGCCTAAAGTACCTGACTGGCAAAGGCCTTTCATGACGGCAATGCGGAAGTTGGTTGGGACGAAGTCGAACAGATAGCTGGAACTATAGCCACTGTATTCCAAGTTTGTCCAACATGGAAGAGAACATCAAGTCGGATGACAATTTAGAGAGACAAAAAACCTCAAAGAAAAGTCGAAGCTATAGACAAAAGAGAAAAGAAAATACCCTCAAAAAAAGAAAAAGTAAAAAAAGAAAAAAAAGAGAAAAAAAAAAAGAGAATCACCGGCCTGATCTTTCCCCCGAACCCACTATCCCCCAGCGCGGCCTACAAAGTGAGCGAACATAGGAGTCAAGCAACCAGAAAATCGCCGATTACTGCAGAGAGCGCCCACTACAGGGGTTGAACCTGCAGTGTTTTGAACCTGAGTAGTGGTGTTTACAGAGCAAGGCACCAGACCACCTAACTAAACACTATGGTGACTGTACAGAATTTTGTTAGAAGCCGCTGTCGAGCTTGCTCTTATTAAGGGCAGGTGGGGGAGGGGGGCGGGTGAGGTGAGTCGGTCCCGGAGGATAGCCTCCTGGTGGTCCAAGCATGGCTCAGGCTTCAGGTCTTGAGGAAGGTGCTCCAAAGTCTATACATATAACAACAGGAGTAAGAGGATCTGGCTGCTGTTCGATATCGTGGTGCCGATCTTCTAGAGAGAGAGAGAGTCTCTTCCCGCTAGGCATGGACGTCTTTCCGTCAAAGAAAGCATTACGCGGCCACCTAACTAACAACGCTTCAAGCGGCTGTGATAGCTTCGCTTGTCATCTAGAGAACAGGGCCACAGACGAAATTCTGCATGCCAACACTATGAAATTGGGACTACCTTACTTAGTTTTATTCGAGTCTTTTACATTGGACATTCTACGTTCTGGCATATGGGTAACCGGTGCTGGCTTTTCCCTCCTGTTTCATATTATTATAGATTTGGACTAAACGAGTTGAGGATTTAAGGTGACTGCCAGCTGTCAAATTGGGTATGGGGTTTGTACACCGAAAGCTCTGTCACATTCCCATTGTTCCAGCACCCCTTATCTCTGCTCCACCTTACGCAGCGAGGTCCAAGGCTCGACGTGCTTGGAGGGGGACCGAGGCATACTCCAGGGTCGAGAACTTTTGCGGTCTCGGCCTTGAAGAGACATCTCCGGTTCGTCCGTTTTGTCAGGTGCTTTAAAATGTCGGGGACTTGTGTCTTTTACTGGGGGACTGCGCACAAGTGGCCATTGGCCAGCTGTCAAAAGGTGGTGTCAAAACAGCATCGCGGTCAGAGTCCGGAGATTTCAGCACGCTTCGCTACCGGTTTACCCGGAGGAGAAAGAGGCTATTTTCAGCACATCCTTCCAACAGGCTCGCTTGGCGGGTTTACGGCGCTTTCAACGACAGCCTTAATTGCGGTTTTATTATCAAATCTGTGCAACGTGAAGTCTTGCGCCAGGGCCGAGATGGCATGATGATGGGGGGCAGAAGGAAAGCAGGGGCGTTCACACTTTCGGGACGGGTAGCCCGGTGGTGATGAGAGGTGGCTGCAGGATTCGGCGGCTGCACCGGACGCGCTATCCGTCTCTGAGGGGTTCCACAGAAATACGGGCTGCAGCTGGAGAAGCCACACCAACGTTGGACGGCCGGGTACCTGACATGAAAATGCCATCTTCCCTCACCCATCATCGGGTTTTTGAACCGCGCTCCTGAGATGCCGATGCCCCAGATTGGAGGTTTCCTTTTATTTTTGACGGTATCATGGTATGGTCGAGTTGATATATGAGGTTAAAAAAGGATCCGGTCTGTGCTCGCCAAGATGGTCAAGCTCTCTCGGTTCTTCAATGGTGGACTCCAGGCGCGAGGCTCCCAGGCTGGCCGCGGCGATCAGTGCAGAGCCTCACTTACTAAGGAACCCTAAAAACCACCAGAAGAGTCAGTGACAGGTATCACAGATCGAATGGTGGAAAATACCAGGAGTCTCTTGATCGTCAGGCACCGCAGCGTGGGTTTCTGAGAAGACAGGAATTTCGGCATCCTTCAGTCCCCTCCCTCATATTACTCCCAAATGGTCTTTTGCTCAGTGACCAACGAGGGTTTTCCCAGACCGGCGCTAACACGTCGAGTCAGCCCGGTAAGGAGCACAAGGCCCTCGCAGCAGCACACCCAAGGAATTCCATCTGCTTTTGGCATGGTGTTGCGCTCAAACCGGGGTCACGGCTGCTGTCCCCGCGCATATGCAGAACCCAACATCTTCTTGGCAGGGGCTCCTGCTGTTTTGGGGCACATTATTGAAATCGAACAAGTAAGAACCTGCCAGTGAAAAGCAGGTACACAATATGCCCGCATCTTGGGGGCAACAGGTATGGAGATGATCATCTGGGGAGTTCAAGAGGGACAGAGTATGTTGGACGACCGGAAGCTAATAATGTTGATACAGGATCATCCTGCTCTTCTCATCCGTCAACGATGGTGACCAGGCTCTGAGGGCATAATTATGGCTCTCCAGTATTGTATCACCGCACCGAGGGCAGACGTCCACGATGTATCTCTACCAGCGCGCGCCTGGGATCGGGGTAGGGTTGCCATGCATGTGCTCATTTCCCACCCACACACTATTCCTTGCACCCGTCCTCACACGCGGAGGCCGACCCGGACAACTTGCTGAGAGCGCCAGATCTGAACCGAGCGTTGGGTGACGGAAGGTTGATGCAGAAGGAATCCCACGATCCTGGAGCCATGCCGAGTTGGGAAGCAGGAGGCATCAAAAAGGGCGCGCCGCCCACTTTGGGCGAAGGTTCTCGCCCTTCACGTCTCTTGGTCCTCTCCAAGTCAACTCTCGACGGCGGCGTGCTCTTTCAGCCGTGCAAACATCTTGTTTGCGTCCTTTCGTTGTGCTATCGCAGCACCATCCACTCATTACTACTACGGTCATCGTTGACCAGACGCTCTTTTTGTTTACACACATACCCCGTGTTATTAATATTCCGTCAACCTCCATAATGTTCACCAAGACTCTCGTTGTTGCCGCCCTGGCCGCGGCTCCCGCTTTTGCTGCTCCCGAAGTCAATGTCTACTGGGGTCAGACCGCCGGCTCAAGGCTTTCCACCTTCTGTGATGCTTCTGGATTCGACTATGTTACCGTTGGTTTCCTCAACAAGTCCCCCTCCCAGGACCCCTCGGGAGCCAACTGGCCGGGTACCAACTTTGGAAGCCACTGCGATGGAGTGTACTACAAGTACAACGGTGCCAACACCAACGTCCAGTCCGACTGCGGAAAGATCGCTGCCGACATCAGATACTGCCAAAAGAAGGGCAAGAAGGTCCTTCTCTCCATTGGTGGAGAGTGGAAGACGACCGCCAACTACGACCTCAGCAACGAAGCCGAAGGACGTCGCTTTGCCTTGTTCGTGTGGCAAGCCTTCGGTCCTCGCATCGCCGGCTCCACCGTCCCAAGACCGTTTGATGATTACTACCTCAATGCCGAAGAGGGCGAGGAGAACTTCGTCTTTGATGGGTTTGACTTCGATATCGAGAAGAGCTACGGTAAGCTTAACCTTGACTGCTCATGATAACGCCGTGATTGGCTAACAGTTTCATGAAGACGCAAACCAGTCAAAGGGCTATATCGCCATGATTAGCAGTCTGCGCCAGTTCATGGCGACACCACAACTCAACCCAAACAACCGCCAGTTCCTGATTACCGCCGCTCCCGAATGCCCTCTGAACGATCCGTATTACAAGATGAAGCACATCATCAAGAACAGCAAGTTTGACCTTTTGTTCGTCCAGTTTTACAACAACCCAGGATGCCATGGCGTCACCAACAACAACTTTGACACTTGGGCCTCGCATCTCCAATCGACCGCCAGCAGTGGTGCAAAGATTTTTATTGGATTGCCTGGAAGTACCAATGCTGTTCAAAACGGTGAGGCGAGTGGCTACCTCACGCCCACCAACCTCCGAACTGTCATCAACAAGTTCAAGGGCAGGGCTGCATTTGGTGGTGTCATGATCTATGATGCCACCTATGGCGCGAGCAACATCGTTTCAGGCTCCAGCCCAGCTGGATTGAACTACTACCAGTATGCTCGCAGCCTTTTGGGTGGCTACACCCACACCGTCACGCCCCCGGCTCCCACACCGACCGCTTGCGTGCGTGAGTATAGTGTCAAGTCTGGTGACTACTGCTATCAGATTGCTGCCCGTGCCGGTATTGATCTCAGCGATCTCAATGCCTTCAATCCTGGTCTCAACTGCAACATCCTCGGACTTGGGCAGAAGCTTTGCATCAAGCGTGGTATCCCCAAGCCTACCAGCTCCAGCTCCACCATCCTGAGCACCACTTCTTCCACCACTGTGAGCAGCACCACTGTCAGCACTACCGTCTCCTCCACCGAGACCAGCACTACTACCGTCTCCTCTACCGAGACCAGCGCCACCTCTACCGAGTCCAGCACCATCTCTACCGAGTCCAGCACCATCTCTACCGAGTCTGCCACTGAGTCTGCCACTGCCAGCGAGACTACTACCGTCTCCTCTACCGAGACCAGCGCCACCTCTACCGAGACCAGCACCACCTCTACCGAGTCCAGCACCATCTCTACCGAGTCTGCCACTGAGTCTGCCACTGCCAGCGAGACCGTCACCGAGACTGAGACCATCACTGCCAACGAGCCTGACATCACCACCACAACCGTTGAAACCTCTGCTGAGCCTACTGGCATCACCTACACTGAGGATTTTACCAGTACTGAGACTGAGAGTGTGACCGTGACCGATATCATCCCGACCACCACAAGCACCATCTCTACCGAGTCCAGCACCGCTGAGTCTGCCACCGAGTCTGCCACCGAGTCTGTCACCGAGTCTGTCACCGAGTCCGCCACTGTCACCGAGACTGAGACCATTACCACCAGCCCTACTCTCACCGAGTCTGCCACTGCCACCGAGACTGCCAGCGAGACTGAGAGCTATTGCGAGGATGACGAGACCACCACCAGCGAGACTACCACTGCCACCGAGACTGCGAGTGGAACAGAGACCGTCACTGCGACCGAGTCTGCTACCGAGTCTGCTACTGCCAGCGAAGCCGAGACCATCACCGCCAGTGCTACTCTGACCGCTAGCGAGACTGAGGTTACTACTGTTAGCGAGACTGCCACTGAGACTGAAAGCTACTGCGAGGATGATGAGACCACCGAGACTGCCACTGCCACCGCTAGCGAGACCGAGTCTGCTGTTGTCAGTGGGACTGAGACCGCCACCGCCAGCGAGACCGAAACTGTCATCGAGACCGCTACCGCCAGCGAAACTGAGGCCGTCACTGAGACCGTCACTGCCAGCGAGACCGAGTCTGCGATTGAGACCGTTACAGCCAGCGAAACCGGGTCTGTTATTGCCAGCGAGACAGAGTCTAGCATCGAGAGCGCTACCGCTAGCGAGACCGGGTCTGTTATTACTAGCGAGACAGAGACTCTCCCCGCCAGCGAGACCACCACTGACGGCCCCGTCATCACACCCTCGGAGAGCTTCACCACCTCCACCATCTACTCCACCACCACCTTCACCGTGACCTCGTGCGAGCCCTCTGTCACCTCCTGCCCCGGCCGCGTCGTGACCAAGACCATCGCCATCGGCACCACCGTCTGCCCCGTCACCACGACCGACGCTCCCGTCATCACCTCTTCCTCCTCCCTGCCCGCGGGTTACACCACCTCAACCATCTACTCCACCAAGACCCTCACCCTCACCTCGTGTGCTCCCACCGTGACGAACTGCCCGGCGGGTAGCACCACCACTGTCGTCGTCCCAATCGGAACAACTGTCTGCCCTATCTCCGAGGCGGAGGCCACTTCTACTCCTGTCCCCGCTGTTCCAGGCGTGGAGACTAGCTCCAAGCCAGCAATCAAGGTTATTACTGATGTCCCTGCTGAGGAGGAGACGACGACCTCCACCACGACCTTCGTCCAGCAGTTGACTACTATCATCACTGTGCCCAAGCCTGATGTCACTGCTACTTCCAAGCCTGCCGGTGGCGACGAGGGAGTTGTTGTCAAGCCTACGCCCTCGGGTGGATTCCCTTACAGCAGTGGGTATGTCAAGCCTATTGCTTCAGCTACGCAGCAGCCCGTGACTGCTGGGGCGGGGAGGAATGGGGTTGTTTTGGGAGGTGTTATTGCTGCTGCCCTTGTCTTGGCTTTTTAAGGGGTGAAATGGGGGAGTTTCTTTTGTTGAACGGTAGCTTGCATGAATATAATGTTTTTTTCGTTCACTCCACGTTGTATTTATGTAGGCTTTGGGGTGAGTGGTTGCGGATGTTCAAGGGGTAGGAATAGTATGAGTTGATTAGATTGAGGTTGTTCAAACCCTTTTTTTGCTGTGGTTGTTAACTTTGCCGTTTTGGTTGTGTCAATGTATCGGAATGTCTACATTTGCTCAAAACCTTCCACGAAGGCTGATTGTATACCAGAATTGATTGATTCCCTCTCCAAGATCCAAGTTTGTCACCCAGCCAAAAGAACGAAGCAAGGGATACCTAGGTGGTATCACTTTCTAGGCCTCTGGAAGAATGATGAGGTTCGCAAACCAGGCATATTCCCATCTACAACCCCCATCATCATAACATGACCTGCCCTCCCTCTCATGCCGTACATGTTGCATCACATAAAAAGGTGTTCATGTCGTGCTCCACTCTTCTCTCGGTGAACAGAAAACTTGAAAGACATTCGACGGCATCTTCCAGCCAATGACATGGTCATGATCCCCACACTGGCTGCTGATGGCCGACTGTTGTGAAACACTTTTGAAAGGTTTTTTTTCCCTCTCTTTTCTTTTTGTTCCTAGAAAATGGGACACGGCACACGTGGTTGGGTTGGACGACTGATGGTGGTGGCGTTATTTCACTGCGGGTGTGTCAGCGTGTACACCAACGGATATCGGCTCGGTTGATGGGTGTGTGGCTTGGGGGGTCCTGGGTTTTGGGGATTGGTTTCTCCCGATTTCCTGGGGGATCGAAGATGGATTACAAAGCCAGGCATATGTTGTGATTTGGAAGAGTTGATCGAGGTGGCTAACAGTGGAAAGAAGAGTGAGGCTTTTTGAAGGCTTCGATGGAGGTTTTCGAGTGGTCATGGGGTTAGTAGGAACCTGATCCGATGACTGATCTGATGTTTTCATGACTAGGACATACGAGGCATAAACAAGTGGCGGCTGCACTGTTAGCAGGCCTTGGTTTTCTTGTCCGCAAAGTGGCCCCCCGAAAGAATGAAGTGGGGGATTGGGAATGCAAAGCTGAAATCCCACTCGATTGGATGTTGGCGGTCCAGTGATTTGTCACATCAAAAGAACAAGAAAAATAGGGGGGTGCTATTGGAGATGGGGTTGTCGGCCGGTTTCATTTACTCGTTTGGGAACCCGGGGGAGTGGTAAGCCGTCCAAAAGAAAGTTTGCCTGCTGCCCCCCTAGCTGAATGAACTGTCGGTCAGGAAAGCGGGAACTTTTGACAAAATGCCTGTCTGGGGAATAAGAGGCCAAGAGATATCGACGGAGATGGACACGGCTGGTGTGGCGGGTTGGTGATCGGCTCTCTGGCAGATGGTAGATGTTGACTGCTAAGGTGGTACCTCAGCCACCCACATCGGCAGGCTGCCCTCCCCCGCGTTCCTGTGATGGAAATATTGGGCCTCTGGCATCTCTTTTCAGCTTTCGACTGGAGCTTCCATGCTATCTGATGGGCTTCCATGCGTGCTGTGACACCCAACTCCACGTGTTCTGGAATTCTATATTCCGCGGCCGGGCAAAGGCAGAAAGTGGCAGACCCCGTTGTCGTTGAAGGCGCCGGGCACTACTTTAGTGCTACGTGCTAGAAGGCTTCCCTCCAACCCACTCTGGCGGGCTGGGTGCCAAGCAAGGCCGCGCGCCGAGCTGAGCAGTGCTGAGGTACCCACAACCGAAAGCTAACCAGAGCTGCAGGAATGTCTCATCCTCGCGCGTGGTCTAGATCGCAACCCGATTTCCATCACGTCCAAAACCTAGGGGGCTAGGCGCCGCCAGCGAGGTTTCCAGCTTGTCTTTCTTTTTCCTGCACAGCTGCTGCACACGCTGCGACAACACCTCCAGCTACAATCTAGATTCCCACGGATGCGGATTCCCACTCGCTCACAGTCCTGCCGTGGTTTTACACACACGTATGAACCCTCGTCCTGTCCATCTCGCCGTCCGCGTCATCCTACCTCGCTCGCGACATATCCTCTCGATCATCTCTCTCTCTGAAATTCCCTGGGTTCGCCTTGCCTTCTTCCAAACTTCCCAATGCCCTCTTCCACGAGGTCATTATTTCACGATGGCCACGATCGAGCCAAGGTTAATACACCTCCTCAACAACTCACAAACCCCCGATCTTCCTCCGATCCAAAGCCTGCCCCTGGATGGCTCGGTCGAACAGTCGCAATCACTCTCGTTGCCCCCGCTCGAATCAGATGTCAGCCAGCGAGGCGATCGAAATGGTCCAAACCAGATACCGCCGATTTCGACCGTCAGTAACAACAACACGCAACTGCCAGGGATCGGCTCGTTGACCGAAGACCCTTCCTCTCTCGACAATCCAAATCAACTGACGGCATTGGCCCGCCCCCTTCATCTCCTTCTTGGCGAACCGGAGCCGGCTGCCCCTTCCCCCTTTTCACTGCGCAGGATCGTCGACGATGTTCAAGAGGCTCAGGATGATGGCTCTAACAAGAAGAGGCATCGCGCACTTACAACCAAGGACGACTTTGTCCAACTACCCCAGCCCCTGAAAAAGCAGAAATCAGCACAACTTGTTCAACGGGGCGTAGTGCCTCCCATCATTGCCGGCCTCCATCAGCCCCCACCAAATGCCGCTGTCTTCCCACCGATCACTTCGAACCCTTATCATCATGGCGAACCGTCAAACATGGGCCTCTTCGGCGGCGTTGAAGAAAGATCTCTTCCTTTACACCTTCAGCAACACCGCGCTCAACCGCTACCCCAACCGATATCGCAGCCGCAGCCGCAAACTCTCTCGGAACTAGACAAGAGTATTGAACTGAGGGCGAAGAGGCGGGCGACAAAACCGAGGAAAAAGTGGACGGATGAAGAGACGAATAATCTTCTGCTTGGCGTGAGCAAGCACGGCGTCGGGAAGTGGACAAATATCTTGGAGGATCCGGAGTTCAAATTCAACGGCCGGTCCGCGGGAGATCTCAAAGACCGATTCAGAACATGCTGCCCTGATGAGTTGCGAGGGCAGCTGGTCAAAAAGCGCTCCAAGAATGGGAATGCCCCGACCCCGACGTCTGAGCCAAATCCGCCAAGTGACACTTCGAGACCCAAGAATGGCCTACACCTCGACGATATCTTGAGTGGCGAACGACCAGGCGTCGTGGCTGCCGAACCAGATCAGCAATCATCGTCAGCACAGCCAGACTCGGACCCGCCACCCAAAGTAAGGAAGAGCAGGGCTCACAGGAAAAAAATGGAGGACCTGGTCGAGCTTGGAATTTGCGGCCCTTTCAAGAAATCACACCGTCGGGAACGACGGCCGTTCACCGATGAGGATGACAGGCAGATTCTTCACGGTCTCGAACAATATGGGCCATCGTGGACCAAGATCCAGCGGGATCCAAAGTACAACCTCTCCAGTCGACAGCCTACCGATCTCCGTGACAGAGTCAGAAACAAGTATCCAGATGTCTACAACCAGATCGAAAAGGGCACTCTCCAGATTGCAGATGCCAGCCGCAGAAACAACTTGCTGGAGCCATCAGTCAACACAACCATCGAGAAGTCGCTAGCTTCTGCCAGTACAAATCCGTTAGAGCCACAGCTGAACCGATCTGGGTCTAAGGAAGAGATGGCGCGATGGACAACAGCCTCGAGCTACTACGAGTCCACAGACTCTTTGCCCGGTCTCACCGGTGTTTTTGATATGAATAACGAGACCGGAGGATCGGGAATCAATATTGGGCGGCTGCTACTGGACGACCCCCAGGCGGTCGGCGACCAGATGAGGCCTGATGGCACGTCTAGCAGTGCCTCGCCAGCAGCGGATCCTCGCATACCACAGAACAGATGAGCTGGGTACGAGGTTGGTTGCTAGCCGTGGGACCAGAACTCTCACCACGTGTGTATCACATTTTTTTCATTTTCGGAGTCTTTCGTCCGGTGTTTGGGGGGATTGCTGTGCTTGAAATAGATTGGGATATACATACCTGTCGTTACCAGACACCTGAAAGTTTCTGTTTACTTCTGTGTTTTTTTGTTTTTTTTTTGGTTTGTTTGTTTTTTTGTTTGTTTTTTTTTGTTTTTTTGTTTTATTGTTTTTTTTTTGTTTTTTTTTTGTTTTTTTTTTGTTTTTTTTTGTTTTTTTTTGTTTTTGTTTTCTTGGCTACGTGCCTCTTTCTGTTTCTCGCTTGTTGTTTGATGTTTGATATCACCATCTATCTGTCCTGGGGATACGCAATGGTTCCCTTTATGGCGGCACCATCCTGCTGTGGGCAGATAACCAAAACATATCATCACAGCTTACTACTACAACTTACAGATTTAGAAGAAGAGAGCAATCTCTGGGCTGCCTTTGGACAGAACGGAAAGCATCATCTCGATTTGTTCTTCCTTTTTGGTCAAAGGTTGGCTAGGGCTCGTTTTTTGTCTACGTTTGTTCTAGCATTTTGTAGCTACACTATCCCCATGGCTTGGTTCAGTCTTTGCTAGCTGTCTGCTTGCTTGAGCTTGTCGTTGCTGATGGGATCAAGCCTGGGAGTAGTGAGTGGAAAAGAAATTGAATTTTGAGTACGTTCAGGGTGCCTCGGTCTGCAACATAAATCGAGGGTTGTTCGCTGTTCTTAGTGCTGATTCTTTGCCGACATCTCTGGTGGTGATAATGATGGTCAGCGGAAAACCCTAACCCGCCAATCTGTGGCAGAGCACAGGCAAGAGCTGCCACAGCGGGTCCCACTTTTTGGGCTGAGGTGAACGTCGAGCACAGACCAGCCTTTCTGCCAAACTCCACCGCTTCCTGTCCCCACCAAATTCGCTAGGGTTTCCGAGCCACAAATTATTTTTCATTGATTTGGTGCTTCTTCCCACTTCGCGATCTGTGATTCCGTTTTCCTTCGACCAGCACATCGACAACAGCCGCCAAAATGGGTAGAGGACCGTAAGTCTACCTGACCCCCAGCTTTTGTTGAGATTCGAATCGCCAGTTACGAAGAAAACAATGTCGAAAGATGTCGGGTTCTTGGAAATTGGCGGTTCATGATTATCAACGCTCCGCCGATGACTGCACTCAATAAGTCGTGAAATCTCGCGATGCTGACTCTTTGGCAACAGAAAGAAGCACCAGAAGCGCCTTAGCGCCCCCAGCCACTGGCTCCTGGACAAGCTGTCCGGTGTCTATGCCCCTCGCCCATCCGCTGGTCCTCACAAGCTCCGCGACTGCATGCCCTTGATTGTCTTCGTCCGCAACAGACTCAAGTATGCGCTCAACTTCCGCGAGACCCGCGCCATCCTCATGCAGCGCCTGGTCAAGGTTGACGGCAAGGTCCGCACCGACATGACCTACCCCGCCGGCTTCATGGACGTCATCAGCATCGAGAAGACTGGCGAGAACTTCCGTCTCGTCTACGACACCAAGGGTCGCTTCACCGTCCACCGCATCGGTGACGAGGAGTCCAAGTACAAGCTCGGCAAGGTCAAGCGTGTTCAGCTCGGCCGTGGTGGTGTCCCATTCTTGGTTACGCATGATGCGAGAACGTGAGTTCTTCCGACATCTATCAGCCGTTGGACCAAGCTTTGGTTGACATCGTGCGGGCAATTTCTCTCTCTCTCGAGACTTTCCACTATGATGTGGCGATGAAGAGGGGGAAACTCTGCCCCACGATTGGCCCAACACAAGCACTGGATCTATACGGTTGGTACGTTGAATTTCTGCCCCAGTTTAGCTGACGATATTCGACAGCATCCGCTACCCCGACCCCTTGATCAAGGTCAACGACACCGTCAAGATCAACCTTGAGACTGGCAAGATCGAGGACTTTATCAAGTTCGACACTGGTGCCATCGCCATGGTTACCGGCGGTCGTAACATGGGTCGTGTTGGTGTCATCACCCACCGCGAACGTCACGATGGTGGTTTCAACATTGTCCACCTCAAGGATGCTATTGACAACTCGTTCGCCACCCGTGAGACCAACGTTTTCGTCATTGGCCAGGACAAGCCCTGGATCTCCCTGCCCAAGGGCAAGGGTGTCAAGCTCACCATTGCTGAGGAGCGTGACCGCAAGCGCGCCCTTGGCAACTAAATTCACTGAGAAGTGGGTTTGGTGCTTGATGAATCAACGGGAAAACGGGCAGCAGGAATTGGGATCAAAAAGGATGGCGTTAGCGGATGTCACTTTAGGTTAGGCTCATGACAGCACATTGAGCCTCCTGGCTTAACTAGATACCACACCCGGGTCAGGATTCGGCCCCCAATAACTGCACTGCTCTCCCGCTGAGATATTTTTGCTGCTGCCAGTGAGTGACTGTGTATGTGATTGCCACATGTCCCTATCTTTGATGACGAGACAATGGTGGTGTCGACCCCCATTCCCACCCCCGTGGATGTTCTGTGGGTTGCCCCGCGGGAGGATCATCTTCCTTGGCCAGATCTTTCTGTGTGTGGGTGTCCTTGTGGGTGTCCTTGTGGTGTCATGGCGGTGAGGCATCACATCTTGTTTCCCCTGCATCCAGCAAGCCACATCGAACGATTTTTTTTTTTTTTTTTTGGTTTTTTTCTTTTCTAGGAGCAATACAGGAAACCGAAACGCGAGTTTAGCAAGGTGAAGGTAGGGTAGGGGACCTTGATGGAGAGAGAGCTGCAACACCCCCGCTCTGTTGCAGCGAGTCCGGATCCGTCTTCTTGCATGCAAGTTTGTCTGCCTACCGCAAGTTTGTGATTCCTGGTCATTGGTGCTTGTGATGGGGGTGGTCGTTTGAGGGGGGGAATATTATGGAGGCTGGGG